TGAACACTTACCGCCATTACGGTACACATATCTTGTTTCATAATTAGTATGAACAAAATTGTTCTTGGTCTTGCGAGATTAAACGAAAAATTATTACCTCAGGTAAATTTTTATGAGTAATTGAAGCAATTTTTAATTTTTTTTTTTGAAACAATATTTTTTGTATTTGAAATTTTCAACTTGCTCTACTGGATTTTAACACTAAATAAAAAAAAACTTCAGCACCGCTTGAAGAAAAGGGATCTGTAACAATCAAGATCTACAAAATTTCTGGATAACACATGATTGAAATATAATCATCCTCATAAAGTCGTCAGTCTTAAGACTGGCTGGATACGTACCTCCACGCTCCTATCCTGAGCTAAACTTCGCATTTCCCTAAAACTAAAACAACCCACATTCTTAACTATTTGCGAACAGTAATCTAACCGAGGTCTACCTCTACCTCTCCTGTTTCTGCCTCTAATATGTCTCTGACTAGTCCTCTGTTCTCCTGTTCTTTTTAATACCTCCTTATTTCTAACCTTTTCTGTCCACGTTATCCTCATCATTCGCCTATAACACCAAATTTCGAAGGCTTCTAACTTTTTCTTTTCCGCTGCGCCCACTGTCCATATTTCGCACCCGTACAACGCCGCGCTCCGAACACCTTTAACAATCTTTTTCGAATTTCTAAATTAACCGTTCGCGAGCATAAAAGTGACTTCTTTTTATTAAAGGCGACACGACCCTGCGCTATCCTCTCCTTTATATCCCTACTCCTTCCGTCCTGACTTATCTGACTTCCTAGATATCTAAAATCAGCCACTTCTTCTAAATTTTTGTCTNTTCATTTCTAACCTTTTCTGTCCACGTTATCCTCATCACTCTTTTTCTTTTCCGCCGCGCTCACTGTCCATGTTTCGCACCCGTACAACGCCGCGCTCCGAACATACACCTTTAACAACCTTTTTCGAAATTCTAAATTAACCGTTCGCGAGCATAAAAGTGACTTCTTTTTATTAAAGGCGACACGACCCTGCGCTATCCTCCCCTTATATCCTTTCTACTCCTTCCGTCCTGACTTATCTGACTTCCTAGATATCTAAAATCAGCCACTTCTTCGAGTTTTTCGTCTCCTACCCTTATATTCGCTCTTTCCCTACAAACTAATTTTTTTTTGATATTTTCACTTCTTTCGAGTACCTTGGATAATTTAAAGATCAATCTATGCATTGGAGAAAGGGTTATTTATGTGTTGGTGGAAGGATACGTTTTAGAGTTTTCATAAAAAAAAAGAAAAGTTTATGCCTAAAAGGATTAAAAAAAAAAATGTATCAGATTAAATGAGCAAGACATAACACGTAAGACCAAGACCAAAACCAATACCAAGACTGAGACTGTTTTGGTTTTCGTCTTGCTTTGCTCATCATCACTTATATGTGATCCCTTTCCCCTACACTGGAATTGACATATCTTTACATCCTTTCTATTTTGTAATCTGTCCATAAAAGAGTATATTTTGTACTACATTTTTTATTGTTTATTCTGAGAAATACTATAAGCAAACCCGTCAATGCCGAAGTACCATACAATAGAATACCAAATCAGCTAATAAATCTGATCTGCTGAATTGATGTCATAATGATTTTTATAGTACCTATACAAGTACATATCCTCCTGCATTCTCTAGCTTACTTTAAGTTTTTTATCTACGTTAAGTTTTAGATGCGTGTCTAAATTGTGAACATTACAAACTGCAACTTCGGAATTAACAGTAATAAATTACTATTCAGTGTATTTTAAAAAACAACTATCAAATTTACAGTTACTTATAGAGAATTTTTACACATCCATATTATTTATCTGTATTAGATAGGGTTCATGTAAATTTTATCCTAAATACACTAGATCAGAGGGAAATTCCGTCCAGGGTATTTGTATTGCCCTACGTTAATTCTGTCCAAAATATACCGATACTTCAGGGAGAAGAAATACTTGTTCGTGCGACTGATGTTTACGTGGATGATACATTTAAAATCTGTCCCAAATGTTTTTACTAAATTTTTCTTATTGAATGACAAAGTTACAGATACCTATATTAAATGCTTCAAAAATGTAGTCGTTGAATATGGAAGACTACGATGTCAGTTTTCACCTCAAAATATTTCTGTGGACGCAATTCATACTGCAGTGCAATATGTTTTGATTAAGTAAACTATATAAGGTTGTAGTTTACATCTAGGCCAAGCATGGTATTAAAAGTTGAAACTCTTGGTCTTTCCAAAGAAATGCATGAAATTCGTCATTGTATACAATTCCTAGGAAATGTATATAATTCCTAAATTCGCCCGGAAATGTGTGAAATAAATTGTATACAATTCCTAGATTTCATACATTTTCGGTGACACATATGTATTTGGAACAAAATCAAGGGTAGTATTAGGTTTTATTAACTATTTTTTTGGATTCTTATATCTTAGACCTAACGTTGTCGTTCAGGTCTTTACTGTGACGAGTGAATTTTGTGTACTTATTATATACTAGAAAATTATGTATCTAAGGAGGGGATGTATATGTAAGGGCAGAGTTATTCTTGCCCGATTCACGAATGATAATAATTTATATAATCTTTTGCTATAACACTGACATTAAAATGTTACAACAGGATTTGTAAGATCGCGTGAATGTTAAGACGGGACAGAATTTACGTTTTTCGATTAGATAGGTATGTGGTATGCACATGCTATATATTTTTTTTCTTGGTTTTGAGATATTAAGAAGTGCTTTAATTAGTATGTGCATTGCTTTGATTGATTAATTCGACAATTTCTTTAAAGGTCAAGGGAACTGGCTCCGCAGGTATCATAAAGAAAAGTAAAAGTGGTTTAATGAGGTTGTTACAGTTGGCTTCCTCTTTTGCTGACATTGAATTACCGGCCCACCTTTATATTTTACAACTTTGTTGAAATGTCGCGATATATATTTGAACCACTTTTTGTTACCTGATTTATTTAAATGTTTATAGCAAACACGGAAAGTTCATAATTATCCTTCTTTAGGACAGTAAAATATGATTTTGATAGTTTTCACCATAACTGATCATAATACGTTAAAAAAAATGTTGCAAATACATATGTCGTAGTTTCCTTCATATAATATGGATGTACTGGGATTGTAATTTAACTTCTGTCGTATTGGAAAAAGTATTGTGTTTATACCATTTATTTACCAAGTTTTTATCGCAGGCATTTCCGCAATAAAAAAATTAATATAATAACAAAAATATTCGACGCTAAAAAGAATAACTTACGATTGGCTTTGTGTAACCGTGTTTAATAGTTCTGGTAATGCAAAGGCATATAAATAGTGGGCCGTTTCAATCGTCAACATGAAACGTTATTTTCACGATTAAAATCTTGCAAATAACTTTTACAAAGCAATACGAACTAAACGTCCGATAATATAATTATTTTCGAGTTATTAGGAAAACGAAACGAAACACAAAGATAAAACAGGATGTGTAAAGGTCACATCAGTAACTTCGTTAATAAACCAGTAATGATCCATTCTTTTTATAAACGTATAGATGCTTCCATAGTAAGAAACTTTAGCGCGTCATTTCAACAACTGTTTAATTATTTTTAGATAATTAGCGAACATCGATATTAACGTACCATTGAAGTACCTATGTAGTTGTATAAAAAATGCAAAACTGCGTAGGTTTCTGTTCAGGTGTTTACGACAAGTACCGCAAATTAAGAAGTCTTACTGCTTACTTGCACGACATTAAAAACTAATTTGAAGGTCGAAAATTTATTATTTATAACAAACACCACTGTCTCTTACCAATGTAACTGGATACTGTGCATTTGCAATGTAATAAAATACATAGACACGCAGGTACATATCTCTCTTTATTAGCCAATTTGAGATTTTTGTTATCATCTCATCTTCAGAATGTAATAATAAATGGGTACATTTTACCCACCACCATCACTTGGAAAATGGAATCCATTTAAACAATTTTATAGTTTTTTATAATTGAAGTGGAAATGAGTATGTATTTCATACAGGCCGCAACATTAGTATAAGAATAGCAGAACATACTTCAGATACAAAAAGGAGATTTTTTGAGATCATTTGGTATATATGAATGCAGTAAATCATTTCTGGAGCAAGATTTACAGGCACTTGCTGAAAATCCATAGAAACGACAATTCAACAGAAATTAAGGTGCCGAGTATTGGAAACGTTTCGTACACATAAAGTGGAAGTGAGCCTACGATGAGGTCTGCAGAAGATAAGGATGCAACTTCCAAGTGTGGGAATTTAGATTAAAAATTAAAGGAAAACTGTTACTTCACAAGAATTCAAATTATAGGAAAATAATTTAAGTGCATACTTGTGTTTAGGAGACAGTTATTGGTTCTAATATGCATTTATCGATAATATTTCAGATTTAATATCTTATGTATTTAAAACATAATAAACTGTAAAACTACATGTAATATTCTAAAGCAATTATAAGAAGATCGCTAGCGGAAATGCATTACTAACAATAAATTAATCATTTAATATTTTTTGCTATTAAAAATTAATATAAATGCAGGCAAATTAAAAAAATTGTTATTACACGTAATATCCGCTAAGTTGCGTTTAAAATAAATTATCGTATGTTAATTCACAAATTGTTCATTAACAAAAAACTTATTTACATTTTTCTTTTACGATTAATTTGGTAAGTACCTAGGTATTTTTGTTTGTACAGGATTTTTAAGTAAATATGTAGTGACGCAATAACTGTATTTCTATGCACATTAAAAAATATGTATCTAACGGAATCAAATTTATCCACAACAGCGCTTATGCTGAATGACAAAAGAAACAAAAATAAACGGGAAATTATTATACAAATTAACCTTTTTTATTCAATCAGGATTGTATTAAAAAAACTGTGAAGACTATAATCAACTAAGTTTGCCTTTTCCACTTTCATTGCGTAGTTATAACAAAAAGGATCATCAAAACGTATTTTAATTGAAAGGACTAGCATAGTTTGGATCATTAAGAGCATCAACACAAATTAACAACAACAAAATGAGTTTATTTCGTATTAACACACAAATTGAAGTTTATCTGAAGACTCAATATTAAGAAAGTAATCCGCACATTAGTGACAATCGCAGGTTTTTTCACCTCCTTCATGTTCAGATCTGTATGAACCATCGTCGTACCGTCCCTCATTATTATCTGGTACGTATTCACCAGATTCATTGCCGTCGACAGCGTTTGAACCATAAGCGTTTGAAGCACCAACTCCTGCACCGTATCCTGCCGGCGCAGGAATGTGAGCAACAACCGAAGACTGCCCATGGGTTTCAATAATACCCGAAGGACCGGAAATTTTTACATCACCCGGTACTGCGTTAGGTCCTGGAGCGGATGCAGAAGGAAATGAACCCGGAGATCCAGAATGTGGATAACTTGACGACGGAGAGGAATATGCCCCGGATGGAGATGCTGACTGAGAATAAGATCCGGATGGATGCGAGTATGACGCGCCTGAACCAGATGATGATCCAATAGGATGGGAGTATGAGGGAATTGGCCCAGAAGATCCAGAGGAAGGACTGGAGTACGACGGGACTGGCCCTGATGACCCAGCAGAAGGATTAGAATATGACGGGACCGGTCCAGATGATCCGGCAGAAGGATTAGAATATGACGGGACCGGTCCAGATGATCCGGCAGAAGGATTAGAATATGACGGGACCGGTCCAGATGATCCAGCAGAGGGATGAGAATATGATGGAACAGGTCCAGACGATGCACCGCTAGGTTGTAAGTATGACGAACCCGGTCCAAACGAAGGACCAGCGGAATTTGGTTTAGGATAAGAATAGGAAGCAGCCGGTGCACTAGCAGAATATGATCCATCTGGCTGACAATCAGCTCCAGAACTGCCACCGTAAGCTGAAACTTCAGGAGATCCTGGACCAACCACTGACGCACTACCGTCATCAGAAGCAGTGATTATTCCACCATGTTGTGGTTTAGCCACGATTTTGCCCCCTGGTGCGTCGTAATCTATATGACTACCGTCAGGCCCATTTATTGAAGCTTTAGCGCTGGGCCCTTGGATCACAACATCTTGGGATGGTGGACCTTCGATTCTTGCATTTTTAATAGCACTGGAGGATGCTGAAGCTATCAATAAGGCCAGAAAAGCCTGCGAAAATCGCTTTATATATTTTTCGAAGTAACTAATATGTATTCATACTTTAGTCGTTTTATGTCAAATAATTATGTAAGTACTTAATTTACAATTGAAGATAAAAAGCATTACAGGATATTAACGATGGTTACATAATGAATATATGAATAAGTAATAATAGTCATAATAATAATAAAGATGTCACTTTGTCACGCCATGCGTATTATACATTTACTTATTATTGTACTTACGATGAACATGCTTTATAATAAAATAATTCGAAGTTGTCTGTGTTCTGTCGAAACTGCCAGACGCGGATCGCAATTTCGATCTTTTTGGATCTCATCAGCGCGTCGCAAACAGCTCCGACAGAACACAGACCAACTTTTACCTGCTGTCTTAACAGTGCGTTTTAGAAAATACTACAAATGGCGCAGTAAACGCCATCTGTAGCACGATGCTACATTTTAGGATCCTAAAATGTAGCACGATTTGTAGTATTTTCTAAAATGCTTTATAATTTTGAAGAAACACATTTATGGAGAATTTACTAACTTTTAGAGCAAATTACGTGTATTAATTTTTGCATTATTACGGAATGTTTATAACTGATTTCATACAATGCTATTATTTCTAACACCAACTTGGTTACAAAAAGATACGTACAAAAACAGAAAACTTTCTTGCATGTAAGTATGATGATATAGTTATCGAAAATGGTTCGTAATTAGTATCTCAAATATATTGATTAAGCGAATTTCGTTTCGATGAACTTATGAATTGTTTACGTACGATTTAAATAAAAGCAATGCTTACCAAGATGTTCATTTTAAAAATTGTATGTTCACTAGCTTTGGTAGATTCGGCGTGTAATGATTTACACAAAGTTCAATCGACTTTTTTATACCTCTGTACGTCCTTGTCCATCCCGGGAGCTTCCAAACTCGTTTTTTCCTTACTCGTCACGCTTCTGAAACATCCGTAACTTTTGAGTAAGTAAATCATCACATCACCATTCGCTAGTGGCATCAGACGTTTGATAAAATCACGCACACCAGACAGAGAAAGAGAAACGATTGTATGAACTCTTCCTTTACCTTTAATAATAATGCAGCATACATTTACGTAATAAATACAAATGCCTGTAATTGTTTTCAAGATGAATTTAAATATGAGTCACACTTCAATAAACACTGTACAAACAATAAATGGTTACGTTGTAATAATTCATTCGTACATCTTCACTGCCTATTGACCACAAGTAGATCGTAAAGCATCTCCTATAATTCCGTCCAAAACTGTTGAAAATTTGACGAAAATATTTTATTTTTTATAAAGAATTATTAACTTTTTACTAAATTCGGTTTAGCCACACTTTACGTCTGAAAGGTAGTTAAAGTGGTACAATGAATTTCACTTGTAGTGAACTCGATCTCCTTTGTCCTTTAGATTTAGAGCATACTTTAGAGCAAGTCTATTCTGCAATTCGGTTTTGGTCACTTCAAATTGCGACTGATTTTCTGATAAATTTCTATTCTTTGAAGATAGCGTCTCGTTACTTAGGGATGTAGAGATAAACATACTACTAAAAAATTTTATTTTAGGCACAGACATATTTTAAGAAATAAATGAGAATTTTCAATTTGTTTCCGTCAGAAACGTATGAATAGATGATGAATAAGTATAAGAAGTATTTGTTTAGAAAGTCGTGGTGTACCTATGCAAGTACTTGAACTCAGACAAGTAGAAATTCTGTAGGCAAATTTAGGCAAATAAATTTTGTTTTACAGTAAATGAAGAAATTTGCTGTATAAAAAATTATATTCCGCTTATTTTGCTAAAGCTAAGATCATGATTTTATTGTTTCCCGCAAATCAACTGATATACTATCGAATCATATTATTGAGGAACAACATGGTTTTATGAGAAGCAGATCCACTACAACAAATTTCTTGCTGTATTGAACCCTTGTTCGGAAAGTCATTTCTTTTTTCCCGACAGAGGATTTAATTGTATTCTTTTGCACCCAACTTCACATTTAAGCCGTATAATTTTTATATGCTTTGAGAGCTCATATAGCAAGGCTTGTGTGTGAAAAATTCCAATTAATTCTACGCAGTAGTTTTTGGTTGGTGCCCT